AATACTGAGTGTTATGTTTCTGGAAAACACTTCAGAGTCTGATGGAAGCTGTGCATTCCATGAATCATGAAGCAGTACACTGAACTCTTTAATAACAGATGTAATAAATGTATTTTGACATGTGTTCAAGAAGCATTCCTTCTCTTGACACTACAATGTAAAGATGTACAATAGGGAAACCCTCAGACATATAGATCTGTTCACGTTCACGTGGATCCCCACAACAAGGAAAGTGGAGTGAAAAAAAAAATCAAGTGACACATCAGGCTACAGTCATCAGAGAAGATTTGGTTTAAAACCCCACTTAATCAAGGCATTAAATTCAACATCAGCCATCTCTAGAAAAGGTGCCTACTCAATCCCACACTTTGTCCCTAGCCATCTCTAACATCTGCTGGTGTTAAATTCTTCCAAACATTTAACCTAGATCCGACTACTGTACACTATGTCTATTACTTCTTGTTTTGTCCCCATTGACTAATGAAAATAATTGACCTCCTTCATCTGTATAATACCTCTTTACAAGGGTAAAATAGATATTATGTCCCTCTTGGGTCTTCTTTTCTGTGGGCTGTGTGTGTCCAGTTCTCTGAACATTTTCTCAACCTTTTATCAGAAATCCCCCTGGTTAGTTAATTCTTTCTCTGAAAGGCAGAATTATGGTGATATTTTATTTGTGCTGAAATGTGAATTTATTTGTATGTTAATAAATAAAGTTTGCCTGGAGATCAGAGGTCATAGTGAGCCAGGAACAACAGTTAGGTGGTGGTAGCCTACGCCCACCCTTAATCCGATCACATGGCAGGCAGAGTCTCTGTGTGGTCAAGGACACAGCCAAGTGTGGTGAGGCGAGCCTTTAATCCCAGTACCAACCATAAAGAACTGGAGGTCTGTATAGACAGGCAGTGATGAGGAAGTCATATGGTTGGGTTTAGAGCCAATGAGAAGGCAGAATAGGAAAGCAATAAAACACAAGTCAGGCAGAAAGAAACTCTCTCTGGGAAAGCGATGACGGCGAGGTGGTAAGATAAGGTAGTCGTGACTCTCTGATCTCTTTGGCTATTTATCTCTGTATTTGGCCCTGTGTTTCTTATTTACTAAGACTGTTTAGAATTTCGCCTACACAGAATGGTCCAAACCCAGGATCCAGATGAGATATGTCCTCATCAAGTCAAATGGGGTTACCAAGTAAGGTTTATTCATGAGTACCTCTTAGCATAGCATAACCAGGGCAGCTCAGTTTTTCTTGGCTATCTTCTCCTCGACTAGCATTTTATTGCATCCTAAACTGCAACCATCACCTGGAGAGGGAGATTAATTGGCTTTCCTCTGTGAAGCTCTCACAGACCTCTCAGCAGGGTTGTCCTTATTGGAATCAAACCACTAGCTGAGCCCTTGATTCATTACCAGGTTTCTTCAAATGAAGCTCTGTGTTGAGTGGTAAGCTTGTATTTTCCATATTATAGGGTAAAGAGATTCACCTGGTATACCTTTCTATAATCTTTATTTTTCATTTTCAAGAATTGTGTTGAGTTCACAGCAAAACTGAGCCAAAGGCACAAGGATTTCCCAATCCTGCTGTGTACACACGTGCACACATATTCACAACCACAAGCACCTCACAAAGATGGAAGCCAATGCCCCAAGTTTGTGTTGAATACTGCTCTTGGTACTTCAGAGTGTATAGCTTTTGACATGTAAGAACATGTGCCCACCCTGTTTCATATAGGGTGGCTCAATTGGGCTGAAAGTCCTCTGGAGTCACCATAGTCCTTTTTCCAATAACCTCAAGTAGTCACTGATCATTTTACTATCGCCATGGTTTCTGCTCTTCCTGAACTTCTTATATTTGGGATTATGAATTATGTAGCCATTTATGAAGATGAGTTTTTAGTTCTCAAACATGAAAAAGTTAATATCATTTCCAGAAACATCTAATGTTCAGATCATATTGGAATTGGTCTTTGTTATTTTTATCCCTCTGGAAAAGACTAACCCCTCCTCCTGTCTCCCTCCTCTCTCTCTCTCTCTCTCTCTCTCTCTCTCTCTCTCTCTCTCTCTCTCTCTCCCCACCTCATTTTTATTAGTTCTTTGAGAACTTCCCACAATGCCTTTTGATCATATTCACCTCTTCCCCTACTTCCTCCTAGATTTCCCTTTGCTAGCCAACTTGGTGTCTTTTTTTCCCCAGCAAGTACAGTTTCTGCTATCCATATTTTCTTGGGTATGTAGTTTTCACTGGAGAGTGGTCGACACACAGGAGGCTGCACCTTTAAGGAAAACTGACTCTTCCTCTCTCCATAGCCATTCCATGCTAAATAGCTCATTTGGTTGGGAAATGATATTCAAGCCTTTATCATAGTTATTGGTATGAATGCTAAAGAGCAATTGTACAGAATGGAAACTCAAATCTTCAGGAAGCAATACAAAATGTGAATTGACAAATATCACTAGTAGTGAGTCCACAGAGCACATCCAGGACAGGGCTGTTGGATTTCAGAGCCTGTGAGTGCTTTTGGAAGAAGTCTGTAGTCTGGTGCCATTCACCTCTTTGGATTTATTTAACCATTGTTTCCTGGTCTCTCAAGGCAGCATCAGAAACATATAAACATTTTAGTGACAGATGAAGAACCAGCAAAATCTGAGGAAGATACTGATTACTAAAGGCACTATTCTCTGAGCCCTTCCTGCACACTGTTAGTGGATTTCCTCCTTCAATCCTCTTGCCCACCTCGTGGAATAGACTTTCACTGTTGTTGCTTTTGACATTGCTGGTAACTTCCAGTCTATGAAATCAAGCTTTGTGCATATTAAGTACAAAAGGTGTTTATGTCTCATAAGTCATGATTTAAATGAACTTTACAAAGTGTTAAAGCCTGTGCTCTACATAATGTATTCTCTTTGCCATCTGTCAAAGAAAAATGGCAATACCCAGAAAAGCATGTGTTAAGTATATCTAACAATCGCAGATGTAGTAAAAAAAAAAGGGGGGGGGATGAAAATAATTATAATAGGATGAGGTATGATTTTTCTCTAAAATGTATGATAAAAGTTCGTTAATTTTTCATAAATTTGCTTTTGTTCAAAGAGAAGAAAAAGCTAGATAGGAATCAGTGTCCTCTGGACACGACGTCATGATGTGGCCTTTGCCACTGTGAACTCACAGCAGCTGTGGTTATCAGCATGGAATCCACACAACCTCAAGCAATCAGCATTTCACCATGGATAGGAGAGAGGCTCATGAGATCCCAACCCTAGTAGAAGAGCTATTGGCAAATGATGGCTATTGGAGAAAGGAGACTAATTTTTTTGTGGGGGTGTGCCTGTGGTCAGTGCCAATGATCCTGTGTATGGCCCCACACCTGTGGACATACGGTCAGCTCTAATTAGACTCAGTAAAGAGAAAAGACATGGAGTTGGGAATGAGGGAAGGAGATGTATTGGGAAGAGGTCCAGGAGGAGCTGGAGGCAGGATGGCTGGAGATTTTGTTCAAAATGCAGTACATACATCTATGAAATTGCCAAAGAATAAATAAAAGTATAAAAATACTAAAAATAAAAATGAAACAAGTTGTTCTCAGTGGTATACTAGGTATTTAGAAAGGGGCAGTATTTAAATGAAGTCAAGATACAAATACAGAGACCTGAGATGTTCTACCCTTCCTCCATCAACCATTTCAGACAGGACTCTGTACATTGGCTCATTTCAGGGCTCAACAATTCCATTCCACAGTCACAGAAAATGACAAAGCCTCTACTGTCAGCCATGGCTCTTAACTTTATGATCTTTCAGTAGTTGCATTTTTGGGTTTGAAAACAATGTTTGTATACACACACACACACACACACACACACACACACACACACACACACACGCCTTACTCTCCTTTTATGTAAAAAAAAAATGTGAAATCACCTTTTAAATTACCAAGAGTTAAAATAAAAAATATAAAGAGTTCCAAGCCCACCCAGCCACAGCCTCTGACTCCAGGGAGCAAACAGGCATCCCTTGTATCCCTCTGACCTCCCTACCACAGAATCTGCACGCATCATAAAATGAATGTTTTCAAGGACCTAGTTTGGGAGAAATATTCTGGGTAGCCATAAATAACTGGGAATTTTACCTAACCATTTTTCAAGAGCATCAGTGTACGTAAGATAAAGCAATGTTACAATTAGAATTCAAGCAATTCCTGGCTGCCCAGTGTAACTTTCTCTAGCAAAATACACCACTAAGGGAAAGAAGTAAGGAAATATTCACAGTGGCTTAGGAATGTCTAACTCCCCTCAATATCTGTGAAATGACTCTTGTCTCAAAGCTAAGCTAAAGTCCCAAGGAAATTGCAACACACCAAAATATTTATTTATTTTTTCTTCTTGTAGTGCTGGGAATCAGACCTAGAGCCTCAGACAGGCTCTGCTCTGCCTCTGAGCTACATACACCCTCAGTCCTCCCACATACTCTTTATTGCAACTTTTCTTCTTAAAAGCACTACTAATCCCAAGACCATTACATACACCTCTCATTTTCTAAAGCTCATTTCCATGAGTCTCGCATTGGCCATTGGGTGCAATGCTTTTTATTTTTCAAAGACACACAAATTCAGAGTATCATATTAGTCCAAAATATTGACTTAAGTAATATATATGATATACATATGTTAAAAACTAGTCTTTAAAAACACTCATTTTTCTGTCCACTTCTTCTGTTATTAGAATGCAAAATTCAGAGAACAAAACTCTTATCCAAATCCTGAGAAGGCTGGCTCTCAGTTGCCTCTGAACACTGCCTTGGCCTTAGTCTCCTAATATCTCCTAAGACTGGCATGGAAATGGGCCAGCCTGTGCTGGGATGTGACTCATTAGAGAGTTGGCTTTCTGCACTCTCCTCTCCTCTCCTCTCCTCTCCTCTCCTCTCCTCTCCTCTCCTCTCCTCTCCTCTCCTCTCCTCTCCTCTCCTCTCCTCTCCTCTCCTCTCCTCTCCTCTCAGAGACCTGAGATGTTCTACCCTTCCTCCATCAACCATTCCAGACAGGACTCTGGAAAACATTGAAAGCCTAGGTAGTCACTATTCCTCTCAGTCACTGAGAAAAGGAAGATGGCTCCTCTTTCACCTTCTTGTCACACCAGCTATTCTCCAGAAAATTCGTCTTTAAAGATAAGATGCAAATTCTGGTCAGATGTAAAAAGGGCTTTTCCTTTTGGCTGCGGGCCTTGTGTGCCGTGCGGTTTTAGTTTTCTGAGCAACAGAATCACTTGCACGTTTCTCTTTCTTTTCATATATCTCTGTTCAGTGTGTTGGTGTGACTGAGCTAAATGCCAAGCCAGCCCCTGCCCCCTGCTGTGTGTGGTCCACCACCTGCCACCATCCCTTGGCCATAGAGATTCCAGCTATTTAACTTTGGAAATGACATTTCTGCACAGTTCTTCCAAGAGAGCAGTGCATGTCAATCACCAGGAGCTCTGCCAATGGCAATGTCAATGGATTTGAATTTCCCATTGATGCCGGGGTGACAGGGCTATCTCTTTGACTTCTCTGACTGGTACCTTTCATATCACTCAGAAAAGTTTATTTCCCAAGGAATTTTCTTTGTGATCTCAAACTCAACATGACCTCCCTTTTATAGTCTCAAAGACCACCCAGTGTTTTATTGCCAAGAGGCTCTTCCTGGTTGACTTATGGACTAGTGGGCTCCTGTAATCTTGTTCTAGGGAACCTTGAAACTCAGGGAGAAGACTGAGGAGAATGACCTGGTTTCCATGTTTGGGAACACTGGCACACCACTGACCCCTAAGAGTAGATGGAAAAGTAACCTGCAAAATACGAATTCTAAAAAACACTGTGTTCATACCAACAGAAAGGTTTCTCCAGCTATGAGAGACGGTGAAGTTTTTCAAAATGGAGTGTGTATTGTGGGGTCTAGAATGACTAGACCTACTTTTGTGGCTACCTCCCAGATGCATAGCCATGATTCTCCATGTGCCACTCACACCTATCAGGTAACTGTACCTGAATGACATAGGTGTGGTTGGCAATAGGGCAATTACCCAGGAGAGGAAGAAAATCTGAATAATATTCATGTTTCACTCATACTTGCCCATACTTTAGCCTTTAGGTGTCCTGAATGCTTTTATTCCACACAAGCAGTTTGCAAATTTGGTTTTGAAAGGGTGAGAGATGCGATTGTCATCCCAGGGAAGGCAGTGTTGGGGAATACGTCTGAGATGATGGCTAGACGGGAGCATTCTCATTGTCCCTTCTCTTCCCCACAGCCCAGGGAGAAGGAAGGATCCCAGGCAGGCCTCCCCAGCTTGCCTCCTGTCCTGGCAGAGTATCTAAGAGCAGTCTACAGCTGCCTCCACCCACCTGGCCAGCTCTCACCTCAGGAAGAAAAAGACACGGCTTGTCTAATAATAAAACTTACTGTCCTGGAAGGAACTCCCATTTTCCTCTGCCTGGGCCAGGCTAGGCTTGCAGACTATCCCGGGCATGGCTGTCCTCCCCTACATGGCAAAGGTCTCCAATCACTTCTAAATCCATAAGTGAAGATTTGGAAAATCCCTATGTTCCTCAGACAAACCATGTCTCCTGTCTTCAAAAGAGGAATGTATTAGTCTGCTTCCTGTGGCTATGATGAAATACTTGAGACTATCAACTTTAAAAGAAAAAAAAAGATTATTTCAGAGGTTCTAATCCATGGTGGGGAAGTAACTATTTGGGGGTGGGGGAAGTAACACATCATAGAAGAGTAGCAGATGATAGAGCTAAAAACCGAGAAATGAGAAACCCCCTTCCAAGGTGTGCCCTAACTGACGTGAAACCTTCTAGCATCCAGGAGCCAGGGATCCTCCCTTCTAACCCACAGGACTTTGGAGGACACCTCAGAATGAAGCTAAAGGATATTTGAGAAACATCCTCTAAAGGCCCGTGTCCTGTCTGTCCTTAAGGCTAATGCAGACTGATTCGCACATTTCTCAGCAAGTGCTCTGTCCACCTTTGGGCTTCATGGAATGTGTTGCTAGTGCAAAGTCAGTTTTTTTCAGTATTTGATTTTCTGACTTGTGTTTTGGTCTGGTGGTTTAAGGTGGCCACTAAGAACCCCACCTTCCCCTCCTGCCTTGGCAGCTATGAAAAACTGCATTTCTGTGCAGAAATGCAAACGAAAATAACCAGCTGCAATGTCACTTCTAAGCTGATGATTTAAGAATCTGGTTTCCCTGCTGTCCACACCTGGTCCTTCCCTGGGCTGAGTCCCACACAGTCATTGCCTGCTACCATCACGCTCAGAGCCATCTCCCAAACTCTGCCCACATACATCACCGCTGCCCAACCCAGAAGGAAAGTGGGAATGTTTCTCCTTTATTTTTCCTACACTGGAAAAGTGAAGCAAGAGTTCCTTCTTTCCAGGGGAAGACATAAAGTTAAAACTGAATCGTACAAACCACGTGCTTACCAGAGTACCTGCCACACACAGTAGGCTCCCAACTTTTTTCACTTTATTGTGGGTCTGGCTGTTGAGACCATTGTTGAACATGAAAATTGCTAGTACCTTCAGATTCTAAGGTATTTATTTCTAAACACAATGAAATAGTCGACTTGCCAATCTGGAAATGATACTTGGTTTATTAGAAATGCTTGCTAACTCTTTGGCAGAAGCCCTGGGTAAAAAATTGAGAGTACAGCCACAGCTCCTCGATCAAGTGGACCCACTATGTGGGTTCCTCAGTAAGCAGACCTACTGTGCAGGCTCTTGAGCAAGCAAAACATCTACACTTCTGCCCTCACCTCTCTTCCTTCGACTCCTTCACTCACTGTCTTCACAGTCTAGAACCGGAAGGCCTTTGATTTCAGCTAATAACGGAGCATAATAAAGCAACAGACCACAGTGCCTTCTTCCCTCACTTTACCGGGAAACTTCCGTGATAATAGTTTGTGTACAAGACATCCACATTGCTTCCCACCAGTGCCTACACAGAGACTGCTGGGAGTAGACTGATGTGCAGGCAGAGGTGTGAGCAGGCTGTATGCAGAGGATATGTCTTTGCCATACACACGTCAGACGTGCAGTGATCCCATAGACCCCTGGAATGACATGCAATATTATTCCTAAGAGCATTCTGTGGACTCCACAGTAGTATCCATGGCAGCATAGTGAGTCTTGAGAAATCACAGCTGCCTTGTAAAAAAATGTCACTGCTGTTAATTCCAGTTGTGTGTGTGTGTGTGTGTGTGTGTGTGTGTGTGTGTGTCTGTGTGTGTGTGTGTGTCTGTGTGTGTCTGTGTGTGTATGTCTGTGTGTATCTAAAGTATGCCACGGTGCATGTGTGGAGGTCAGAGCACAACTTGTGGAAGTCAGTTCTCTTCTTGCACTATGTGGGATCCACAGGCCATCAGATTTGGTGACAAGCACCTAGCCATCTCACTGGACATCATAGTTCATATTTTATAAATAGATTACGTGAATCTCTGAGAATAGATATGATTTCCTGGAGATTCAATGGCAATAACAGGGCTGGATCATACCTTTCTAGTTTGGAATAGGGTTCATTTTTAAATATTTGAGGCAAAACATAGATACTTTGCAGGTCTTGTGGAAGTGGAAGTTAGTGATGTTTCTTTAATCATCATCATTAGTACATATGCATGCACCTTTGTGATGAACCAGGTCCCAGGAACATGTGGGCTGCTACGATAACTGCAGGACAGCAAACGGTAGTACAAAGGACAAGGGGGTTTAGGAAGTCTATGGCCAGAGAAGCACCTCTGGGGGATGATGGGTTTGTGGAGGGCTGCTGATATTGATGAGAGACATCCTAGCAGAGGGAAGCATCAGCAGCATTTAACCAGAAGCAGGGACTAGGATTTTGGGAATGTACATTAGAACAGAGGGTACCAAGGCAAGGGACCATTATCGTGGAGGAAGAAGTAGCTTCTGAGATGTACATATGACTAGAAGCAGCTCAGTAGATCCAGAGCCAAGGACAGCTACAGGGTGATTGCAGAAACAGGACCACAGGAGGAGGAAGTAAGCAAGGATTCAGTCTGAGGAATATTGCCTTCACCCCATAGGCAATGTGGACGCCTGAGATTATGTGGGCTGCAATAACTGTGAACTGGAAGCAAGAGCCAGAGAGAATACAGACCACAGGGGATAACGATATTGACAATTATATCCTGTCATCTGGATCTTTGGGAAACAAAGAACTGTGTCTCAGGTGGGCACATTGGTCTTTAAACTGGATTAAGTTGCTGTCCATGACACATGGGGATTAACCAGTAAGATCACACACAACACTTATCAAGCCTGCCATCTTAAGATGGTTTGATTTATCATTCAGTGTTACATATTGTGGAAGCCATAAGCACTCAGTGGAATCCATGTGTGCTGGTTGTTTGGTTGTGTTTGTTTGTTTGTTTTGCTTTGCTTTGCTTTTTGTTTTTTGCTAACTTGACACAAGCCAGAGTCATCGGGAAAGGAAGAACATCAATTGAGGAATTACCTCCATCAGATTGTCCACAAGCAAATCTGTGTGGAATTCACTTTCTTGATTCATAATTGATAGGGGGTGGGGAGCTCATCCCACTGTGGGCAATGCCATTCCTAGGCAGGTGGCCCTGGGGTGCATAAGAAAGCAAACTGAGCACACCAGGAAGTTGCATTCCTCCACGATCCCTGCCTCAGTTCCTGCCTCCAATTTCCTACATTTGGCTTCCTTCAGGGACAGACTGTGAATAGGACAGATGAATAAACCAAACAATACTCTCCTCCCTCTCATTTTTATCACAGCAATAGGAAGCAAACTAAGATGCTGCATTCTAATTTTGAATTTGGATGCTTTGCTGAGCTGATCCCTTCTTGCAATGCTGAGCAATGGCAGTAAGCCTTGGTGCTCATTCAGCCTTGCCATCTTGAGGGGAAAGCAAGTCACCCTCCAGTGGGCTTACGCTGTGCATCATGGAGCTTGGTAGGGCAGGAGTGTTAGACGTACTTTCCACTAAGTTTTCCTTTTGAGAGTGGGTTTGTCAAGTCAGAACATCATCCTGCTAAGGGGCTGAAAATCGAATACAGTTTAAAGCTTGTAAATTGTACAGGAGATCTTTTGACTCTGCCTAACACTTGAGCAAAGGCCAGGATTGGGCTCCTTGGGTTGTCAGAGAACAGGGCTGCTTATAAGGACTTGGGAATCCTAAACTGAAGAAGGCTTTCATCTGAATACACTAATTTCTCCCCTCCAGAGAACCCAAGTTTCCTTTAGAAATCCTGATTCCAAATTTTTAAATGTGGTCTAGAGTTTGGACCTTCTTTGGGTATCTCAGTTCTTTATAAAGGTGATTTGGCCAAACAAACACTCAGGCCAATTCTGTTTCAAATTCACTTGGCCTCCACAGAGCCATCAATTTAAGCTACCTTCTGTCTGGATTTCCCCTGCCAACAATTCGCTGCTTGGTCACTGTTTCCAATTGCTAAAGTGACCCTGAGCTGCGGTTGCTAGAGAATGCCCTGGTTCAGGCAAGGTAGTGGAGACACCCTAGAACACAAGGCTGTTTCATTGACCTGGTAGCCCCAGCAAACACTTAAGTAGTTCACATTTTCTTATGCCCTAAGATGTTAGTGGTGTGGCATTGGAGACAGGATGTGACATCAAAGACAAGAGGCCATCTATGAGAGCTATTTGCCTCAAAGTCTGTCCTTTGCCACAAGTTCTTAGCTTTAGCTCAGTACTCACAATATATATATATATAGAGAGAGAGAGAGAGATCTGTACTTGAATGGTCCTAAAGGAACTTGATAAGGTTGTGTATGTAAAAATCCCTTCCTAATTCACAGGGATGAGCTCCAAGGACCTGGGCAGATGTCTAAAGCAATGGGCAGTATGTAGTCCCATTTACATTATGATCGTTTACACACACACACAAACCTGTATTAACTTCAGGTTTTTCACTTACATCAGATACATCACAGTTCTCCATAGCATGCCTGAATTTTGAGCATGGCTACATCATGTCTTTGAAGAGAGAAGTAAGGATAACTTGCACATAAGCACATTAACACCCTACCATTGCACCCATAACTGTGACAGCTACCAAGTGACCAGTGAGCAGGAGCTATCCAGTATGGGTGTGCTGAACAAAGAAGGGACGTGCCTCCCTGGTGGGATGCTGGGAGAGAGCACATTCCTGTCAAAATAACTGAATGCTTACAAATTCTTCATATCTGAATTTTTCCACTTAGTATTTCCAGGCCACAGCTGACGTCAAATAACTGACATTATGAATGGGAGGGAGGGGCTACTGTACTAGTTTGAGCATACCATCTGTAAATTAAGCATGTGGCTTTCCTGTCAGCTCCAAGCTGAAGCTCAGCAAAGAAGCTTAACACTTGAATCAAGAGTGGAAGAACACAGCAGGGTGTGGGGTGGCCCGGCCTGTAATCTCAAACTCAGTCTCAGAGCAAGTCAGCAGATCACCACAAACTGAGGCCAGTTTGTATAATGAGACTCTGTCTCAATACATTTGAAAAGATTCAGAGAAGGTACTCTTTTGTTTGTCCAATTCCCTACCAGGGCTCTTGAGGTACAGCCTTGCCCCCTCTCTCCAGCTTCTATGGCTCCTTGACAAGTGATGGGGGAAACGCCAAATGAGACAGCAGTCATGGCACCTACTTCAGTGAAATGTGGGGAGAAGTTGTGTCTTGTTGTGGCTGTTATAAATGCCAAGAAATGAAGTTCAAAGACAGCGTTTCTGGATGCTGAGAGTGGACAGGAAGTTATAATTTCATCGACTCATGGATCTATCCATTCATTCAACAGCTACTGATTATCTTCCCCCCTATTACAGATGGCAACGATTGCTGGGAGCCATGCAAAATAAAAATCTGAGTCATCTACTATGGGATTATCCAACAACTGTGTGTATGTGTGTATATATATGTGTGGATATGTGTGAGTGGTTGTGCCTGGGGGGGGGGCAGAAGGGGACAGTGAGGTGGAGTTATAGGTGGTTGTGAACCATGTCACTCTGGAAACCGTACTCTGGTTCTCTGCAAGAACAGTGAGATCACTGAACACGGAGAATTTGAGCTCATGACTATCTAGAGCCTTCACCCCTACTGAAAACTGTTCATTGTTCCAGATGGGACTCTGCACACAACCAGAGGAGAAAGTAGACACCAACCCAGTTACAAACACTGCGATCTCCAATGGTGATCTGCCTGCATGATACACTGGTACATTAATTCCACAAGGTTGTGGGGGTAGCCAGCCATTCTCTGAATGGAATTAAAGCCCCACTCCATGAGATGGAACCCATGCCAGACACTGCTCAAGGTAGTCAAGAATCTAAGACTAGACAAGCTCTGGTACTAGGGGGAAACTAAACACTGCTGTTCTGCTAAATGAAAATAGAAATAAAATTACTCCTAACAACATTCTGCTATACTCATAGATCAGTTTCTTACTCAGCTATCATCAGAAAATCATCCTCCTGCAGTAGATGGGACCAAATGCAGAGGCCCACAAAAGAAAAATGTGTAGTGAGTGAGAGACCATGGAACACTCAATCCGATGTGGAATGTCTCCACCAAATCCCTCCCTTCAGGCCTCGGGGAACCTGATACAGAAGAGGATCAGAAGAGGATACAGAAGGAGTGTAAGAGCCAGTAGGGCTGGAGGACAACAAGGAAACAAGGTTTTCTAGACACAACAGTGCTGACTGATGCACATATGAATTCACAGAGACTGTGGCAGTGTGTACAGGGCCTGCATGTGTCTAAGATAAACAGGGTCCCAGTGCAAAGAGGGAAGTAGAAACAATCCCTTGTCCTTAACACAGAAATTATCTCCAACTGATAACCACTCAAAAATGGAAAAAAAAATTTCTCCAATGGAATCTCACTGAGTAAACAAACCACACTTAAGGGCATGATTCATGTAGATGATCAACACAAAACAAAATTGATGACATTTTTGGAGGATTTGTTGTCTCACTGTACTGGCTAGTTTTATGTCAACTTGACACAAGCTAGAGTCATCAGAGAAGAGGGAACCTCAACTGAGAAAATGTCTCCATAAGATCCAGCTGTAGGAAATTTTCTTTTTTTTTTTTTAAAGATTTATTTATTTATTATGCATACAATGTTCTGTCTGCATGTATTTCTGCAGGCCAGAAGAGGGCACCAGATCTCATTACAGATGGTTGTGAGCCACCATGTGGTTGCTGGGAATTGAACTCAGGACCTCTGGAAGAGCAGTCAGTGTTCCTAACCTCTGAGCCATCTCTCCAGCCCAATTTTCTTAAATCGTGATCAATAGTGGAAGGCCCAGCCCTTGAGGGTGGTGCCATCCCTGGGCTGATGGTCATGGGTTCTATAAGAAAGCAGGTTGACCAAACCATGAGGAGCAAGCCAGTAAGCAGCACCCCTCCACGGCCTCTACATTAGCTCCTGGCTCCAAGTTCTTTCCCTGTTTGAGTTCCTGTCTTGACTTCCTTCAGTGATGAACATTGGCATGGAAGTGTAAGCCAAATAAACCCTTTCCTCTCCAAGTTGCTTTGGTCATGGTGTTTCAGTGAAGTAATAGAAACCTTACGCTCACAATTCTTTGTCTGGGATTTTGTTTATTCCTTAAATAATTTTCCTTGGCTCTTGTTTGTTTGTTTGTTTTCTTTGTCCTAGTCTGGTTTATTTGTTTTTATTTTAGCTTATTTTTATTTTATTTTACTTTTTTTTGGTTTTTCGAGACAGGGTTTCTCTGTGTAGCTTTGTGCCTTTCCTGGAACTCACTTGGTAGCCCAGGCTGGCCTCGAACTCACGGAGATCCGCCTGGCTCTGCCTCCCGAGTGCTGGAATTAAAGGCGTGCGCCACCACCGCCCGGCTTTATTTTTATTATTTTTAAGGTGTCTATTTGAATTCTTTTTTTTTTTTATTTAGGACCAAGTTTATTTGTTCACTTAAAAAAACAACAAACTTCAACTTGATTTTGTTTCCACAAAACATTTTCTTTAAAATACAACTTCAGCCTGTTGAGAGAGTTACTGGATCATGAGGACTGTAACTCCACCAATGGGTTAAAGCAGGAGTCCACAGCTGAATGGGCTGCCAGGAGGGAGGGAACAGACGGGAAGCAGGTAAGTGGAGTATATCTCTGAAGGGTATGCTGTGGCCTCTTCCTGTCTCTTTGCTTCCTGACAGCCGATAGTGAGAGGCTTTCCTGTGCCTCGCCCTCTTGCTGTGTTTTTGCTGCTACAGGCCTGAGAGCCGTGGAACCAGCTGACCCTGGACCGACACTTCTCAAGACATAGACAAAAGCCTTCCCTCTGAAGTCAGGCCAGGCCTTTCGTCACAGCAGTGCAAAGGGACTAATGCAGTGGCATGTGATTTCTAAAGGAAGAACTGCGTCTGCTTACAGCACTTCATACAAACTGATCTCTAATTAAAAGTTTTTTCCAGACAAGGTTCCACCATGTGGTCCAAGTGTCCCATCACTAGCTGTGGCGTGCAGACTGGAGTTGAGACCCTCCTGCCTAAGCCTCCAGAGGACTAGGATGGGAGGCTGGACACCACACTTGGCATTAGAAAAAGTTTTAGTTCAAATCTATCATGGTCATTGCTTACATCTCATAAAAGGGTACCTTTTGTGATACCTAAAAATTTTAAGAAAGGTGGGATAAGAGATTCAAGAAGGGTTTTACAATACATAGGAGATGAACTCTTATACTAAATAATATGGCTCTTATATATATGTATAATTATCCAATATTGGGTCAAAAACCTGATTTTGTAAAAACTGTAATGAGATACACTACTGAATATTCATTTACTTCAACACTGACATTTTTATGATTAGCTTTATTAACAGGATATATGTTAATGCACATACACCTTTTTACAATAGATTCACTATTCCCAATATTTGATTCGAACCAACAAATATTCAGTTGAACACGAGAGAAGAAATGAGATTTTCTTTCTATGTAACTGGCTAAATTGTTTTGAAGAGTAAAAGTTAATATTGGTATTTAAAAACCTAAATTTTTCAAGGCTTCTGTCAATTCAACCGTGAATCTCTTCCTCAGGCCACAGGACTGCCCATTAGTCTTTCCTGTCGGAGAGCAATTAATCTCTTGAACCACTTTTCTTCAGCTTCAGCTTTTTCAATAAATAAATTTGGATGAGCCAGAGAATTGTCATCTTGGTACTTGATGGCCATGGGGATGCTGTCAGGGTCTATTTCCTTTCCGATGCTGGGTGGGTCAGCGGCTACTGATGCTGGTCCTGATGCTGGAGTCACATGCTTCACTTCACTTGGTTCTACTGATTTTTTGACTTCTTTACTTGATCTGAACGTCTGCTGAACAAAAGAATCACTTTCAGTGGCTTCAATTTCTTTAACTCTTTTTACTTGTTCCACCGGGGTGACTTGGTCTTCCTCTTTTCTTCTCTTTGCTTCTTCTTCATTCCTTTCGTTGGCTTTTAGTAATTCATCAGCTTTTGCAGCAGCTTCAAGAACCAGTTGTAGTCTGGCTTTGGCCTGCTCAGCTGGTGGCAGATGTTCTAATCCAGCTTTGATGTTTCCAGATTCCCCCCGTTTGATGCTGTGCACTTCTTTGTCCTTGCCTTTCTCCTTCTCCTTCTCTCTCTTCTCTTTGTCCCGGGCTTTCCGTCGTTCTCTCTCCCTAGACCTGCTACGGGTTCTTCTGTGACTGGACCTTTCACTGCTTCGACTGTGGGAACGTGGATGAGGTCTTGATCTGGACCTTCTTGTTCTGCTTTTGGACCGAGACCTTTGAACTCTATAGGATTTTCCTCGAGCGCTGGATTGCCTTCAACTTCGTTTTCTTCGGGAGCCGTAAGAAGAGCTGCTGCTTGACCTGTGCCTGCGTCTTCTCTCATAAGAATGTGAGCGAGGCTGGCGGTCTCTAGACCAGGACCTGGACTGGGACCGTGGCCGCCTCCCGCCCTTCTTGCGGCTGTACGTCCTGCTATCTGAGGAACTACTCGAAGAGGAGCGTCTCCGGTGTGTCTTTTTTCTCTTGCTTCTGCTCTCTTCCTTGGTGTCTGATGACCGGCGTCCCATTTCTGGGTCGACCTTCAGGTTCGCACCTCCTGACTCGGGGGCCTGGAACCCCCTCTTCAAACCACGGCGCCACTGGCGTCCTCAGAACTTGCTTCAGTTTAAGCTCAGCGCCTTCCCGGTTCCCGCCTATTTGAATTCTAATGAGAGAGAGAAAGAAAGAGTGTGGATTTGGGTGCGTGGAGAAGTGATGAGGAGCTAGAAGGAGTTGGGGAAGGAGAATCAGAATCAAAATATATTGTATGAAAAAATAGTCCATTTTCAATAAAAGGAAAAAGAAATTGATACCACGGAAAAAAAACACAAAAAAGAAAAAGAACGTAACTGTGCTTAACCACTGAGCGCTATCTTTCCAGTCCCATGGAAATGGCTCCTTTCTCCAGTCAATATGAGTGGATATACAACTGGTGTATCATTCAGTGTTCCTCACACCCTAATTACAGGTAGAAAATCTCACAGAAAGATGAACCATTTTCAATTCTGTACAGAACAGGCTTCTCTTCTATTGTATAAATTCTGTATTCACTGAAAAATTGTAGCTTAAATAAAAGATTTATTTCAATTTTGCAAGTCAAAATATCATCTTGCTAACAACATTGATCACTCTTAAGAATAAACTACCAATACATGGAGAAGGTGGTTTGTTCACCATCCACATTAAGTTTATATGGGACATATAAAACTTATCCTATAAATTTTACTTTATGGACAATAAATATCTGTTGTCAAGAATTTATTATCAAAAGTCAAAAACCTAACATTTTGTTATAGGGCCAATACAGTACCAGGTTAACATTAAAGAGTCATTAGCTATTTGTGACTGGAGAGATGACTGAAGGTGAAGATGCTGCATAAAGATGAGGACTGGAGTTTGGATTTGCAGAGCCTAAGGAAAGGGTGAATGGGTGTGGCAGCCTCCAAATGCAGAGACAGAGGATTCCCAGAGCAAACCGGCCATATCGGCAGTTCTAGGTTTGATTCAGAGACCTGTAGCAAGGAATAAGATGGTCAAGTGCAGTGGAAAGCTTTCTAGATCAACCCTAGGCCTCCACAGGCACAGGCACACACAGGCATGACACACATGCTAACATGCACACATACACACACACACACACACACACACACACACACACACACACACACATACACACAAACATGCACACCAGACACATATACATAAAACTGGAAAAAGAAAAATACCACTAAATATTACATTTATGGGACAGTTAGTGCTAAATATACATTATTAAAAAGACATTCCTTGGAGAGCATATTGTTTCAAATTTTCCAAGTAGCAATCACCATGATTTAGTTGTTAATGCCTCTTCCCTCACTACCTATGTGCTGAAGACTTGATCCAGAGAGTAGTAGTTTTAGAAGGTAGTGAGAACTTTAAGAAGTGGAGCCTAGGGAAGTATCACAGGTTACAGATGGGGTACCCCCAAAAGAAACTGCAATATTCATTTCCTGACAAGAGATAAGTGGTTTTGCTGTGTCCTGTGCCCCCGCCATGACACACTACCTCACCAAAGCCTAAAGCTGTATGCCAGTTTCCAATAGACAGGAACCACCGAAACTGTGAACCAAAACAATCTCTCTCACTTTATAAGGTGATTAACTTGGGTGCATTGATACAGTGGTGGAAAGCTAAAACAGTTACTGAAGTACATTCAGTTAATATTGCCCTTAACCAGCTCAACCTTCTGTCCTGTGGGAAGCCATGATCCTCACTTCATGTGAGTACTACAGGCTCAAGAGTAGTGAAAGCAAAGTGCTTGATTTTTCCACCTTGTAAAGTGGAACACTGGACTTAAGATAAGGCAAAACAGCAGGTGAAATAATGTAGTGCCAAACAGTGGTTTTCATCGTCCCTGATCATGAAAAATTCCTGCCATAGTTTTCCCTTTGGTTGATATTTAGAGTTAGACCCTTTCCTTCTCATCTAGCACAGTACATGCTCTAAATTTCCCATCTTCTTGGAGCTGAAGATTCCATTCCTCTTTCACGACATGAAAGAGGAATCATATAGCAGACTTTAAAGTTTCAACTGTAAGATAAAAGAGAAAGTTTCCAGGTGAGCAGGATCCCAGGGAAAGACAGACTGAGAGGGCCTCCCACTTATCTGTGATTCACTGATGAGCTCCTACTGAACAAACCTCATATTGAAAATGAATAATGATGACTGATCTCTTACATCTTGAATCTAACAAAAAAAGTCACCCAGTCCTTCCAGTTGTTCAGACCCAAATCTCTCTATTTGTCTTCCTTTCAAGTCCCTCACTTAATCTATCAATAAGTCACCCAATCCTTCTAATTGTTCAGACTCAAATCCCTCCATTTGTCTTTCTTTCAAGTCCCTCAACTAATCTATCAATAAGTCCTACCTGAAAATACAGAAAATAAAAACAAAACAAAACTTCTTATAACACATTCACAACACAGTTCACTTCTGAGATTCCCAAAATGCATACAAACTCTTGGAATCAATAATCAAACAATTCTTAACTGTCAGTGTTGGAGCCTACTCTGGCCACTTATACGTGTAACACCCTCAATCCTCAGACTCCAACAATGCTTGTTCACAATCTACAAACCCCTGGTGTACCATATCCAACATTTCCACCCAGCCAGATCACACTTTGTGCCAGAGTCCAGCCAAGTGAATCTGCCTGTTCCTCCCTTCAAAGGTAGGCTACCTCAACTCAAATATTCACCCCCAAACTCTAGGTTGAGAACAGAGTGCATATCCTACATGCCAGCCCCCTATGTCCACTTGACTTTATTCTGTTTAAGCCATATCGAACCATCAGGCCCAACCCTGCAGGTACATCCTGGGACATCTGTACCAGCCTGCTGTCTTCATATCAGACACAGAACTTATGAAAGAAGTCAACATGCCCATATCTCATCACAAGAATATGAACAATATAAATGATTAAGGCAGTATCTAAGCCCCCATACATCCATCATTCCTATAGGAATGTTCTACAATGAGAATTACCTACATAAACCCCAGAACAGATAATTTAAAAGAACAATCCTCAACTTCATTAGAGTATTCAACAAGTTTAAAGAAGGCACAGAAAAGTCTATCAACAAACTTACAGAAAATTAACTTAAAGAGAATAAATGCTTGAGTGGTGTCTAAGAAAACACAAACATAAGTAAGACTGCTTGAAATGATGAAGGACATGAGAACTGAGTTCAATAAAAAGATAGAAACATTGAAGAGAACAGGCTGAAATGAAGGTGGAATTGAAAAATGCAAGAATCCAACTAGAAAACTCAAGGGAAAGCTTTGAAAAAGTACAATGAATCCAGCAGAAGACCGAGTATTATGACTTGACTACAAAGCAGAGTAAATAGAACAAACAATCAAGTAATATGATTGTAAAATACAGAGAAAGAAGGGGACATACAGGAAAAGTGGGATGCTATGAAAAGACCAAACTGTTAAATTATAAACACAAAAGAGGGACAAGAATTCCAGGTTAATGTCATAGACCAGATCATAGATGGAAACTAAAGAAAGCCACACCCATACATACAGAAAAAGAACACAGAACACGAAATAGACAAGACCAGAAAAGAAATTCCTCACAGCACATCATAGCTAAAACACTAAGTATACAGAACAAAGAAAGAATATTGAAAGCTGCAAGAGAAAAATACAAGTCACACACAAAGGAAAAAATATTAGAATAAGAGCTGATTTCTGAGTAGACATGTTGAAAGATTCTCTAACAATGCATTTCAAGTTCTAAAAGACCACAACTGTCAAGCTAGACTATGACACCAAATAAAATGGTTTATTATATTTGAAGAAGAAATAAAACTTCCCACAATATGAACAGCCTTTTAAAAAAAAGTTTCTATCCAGAAAAACCAAGCCTGAAAAAAAAGAGAGAAAGCAAAACTTTAGGCTGAAGAGAGGAAGAAACATAGGCAAGAAACTGTAGAAAGAAAACAAAGTTATAATAACTAAACACAAAGTACTACTGAGATAAACATAACTATGCAATGACTACAATCAACACATGCCTTCCAATAATAACTTTAAATGCAATGGCTTCAATTCTCCAATTAAAAGATACAGGCTTGCTGAATGGATCAAGAAACAATATTCATCTGTCTGTTGTTTACAGGAAACTCAGCTTTAAAGAGAGACACCAATTAGGGTGAGAGGTTGGACAAATAATCCAATAAAAGGGAATCAGAAAGCAATCAGGCTTCGATATTCTGATATCTGAAAATAACAACAACAACAAAAATCCTCAAACTAAATCTAATCAGAAGAGATAAAGAGAGACACTTCATTCTAATCAAAGAAACAGCCAAGAAGACAGTACAATCTTAAATATATGTGCCAAACTCTGGGGACATCCAATTTCATAAAATGTGTACAAGTGGAATTACAGACACAGACTAACATCAATCCATCAATAGTAGGTGATTTCAGTACCCCACTTTCTTCATCAGACAGGTCATCAGGATAAAAGCCAAGCAAGAAACACTGTAATTGAAGCATGTTATATATCAAGTGGGCTTAAAGAATATCTGTGAAAAATTCCACCCAAAACCAAAGAACATGCATTCTACTCAGCAGTACATGGAAGCTTTTCTAGAATAGACCACATTCTTGGAAACAAAACAACTTTTAACAAATTCCAAGATATATATATATATATATATATATATATATATATATATATATATATATATATATATATATATATATATATATATATATATATATATATATATATATATATATATATATATATATATATATATATCTCCTCTCTGACCATAATACAATAAAAACTGAAAATTGAAAGTAAATGTATCTCTAGTAATTATACAAACTCATGGAGCTTAAACAATTTATTTCCTTTTTTGTTTGTTAGTTTGTTTGTTTTGTTTTTGCAAGACAAGGTTTCTCTGTGTAGCTTTGGTGCCTTTCCTAGAACTTGCTCTGTAGCCCAGGCTGGCCTTGAACTCACAGAGATCCATCTGCCTCTGGCTCCCAAGTGCTGGGATTAAAGGTGTGCACCACCACCACCCAGCTAACAGTTTATTTCTGAATGATGAGTCAAAGAAGAAATCAAGAAAGAAATAAAACATTTCTTGAAATAAATGAACATGAAAATACAACACAACAGAACCTCTAGGACACACAAAAAGCAATCCTGCCAAGGAAATCTGTATCTCTGAGTGCCTATGTTAAAAGATCAGAAAGAAGACAAACTAATGGCTTAATGATGCACCTCAAATATTTGGAAAAACAACAACAAACCAAAACCAAATCAAGTAGATGACAATAAAAAAAAAATCAGAGCAGGAATGCTGTGGGATATCCTTCAGTATGCTGTGAATGTGTGTTGTTCTCATTGGTTGATGATAAAGCAGTTTTGGCCAATGGCCAGGCAAGATAAGGTTAGGCAGTACAACCAAACTGAGGGTGGAGATGAAGAAGGGAGGAGTCAGGGCAGATGCCAGCCAGCCGCTGAGGAAGACATATAGAAAATGAGGTAAAAAG